AAGTCCTTATAGTTACTTAGATGAAGTCCTTATAGTTACTTATAGCTGATGAGATGAAGTCCTTATAGTTACTTAGATGAAGTCCTTATAGCTGCTACAAATATCTTCTGAGGAAGGCAGGAAATGGTCTCACCAAATCCCATGGCTCTTTCTTTCCTTAGGAGCAGCTTCCCACCCCGCCTTTGGCCCTTTGCAGCTTTTCTTTCCCAATGGCAGCCCCAAGGGGCCCATCTAGATCCTGGGAATCCCTCCAGTAAGGTGGACAGGGATCCACTGTACTTTTTTGTATTGAACTGTTCTGGGCTTCATTGTGAAAAGTATTTATACATTTACTTTAATGTTAAATAACACGACACTTACAAAATGAGTGAGTGATAAATAATATTTCCAAAATTTAACCAGAGCAGTTTCATATGAGGTCAAAGTGGGAGAAAGAAAACACACCCTAGGTCACTCCCACATCCAGAACAGAAAAGAGGACTCCCCCAGTCATTATGCTCCCATCAAGTGCCCCGCTGGGGGGACTCTAGCTTATCTATTTACAGCAGTGTTAGTCTTAAGGGAACCAGTTTGAGATTACTTTATAATGAGTAGAGCTTTATGGGAGATTTGGGGACTTCTTTACAGAAGACTTTACAACATGTTTGTGACTATACTGAGGAACCTAAAAGTTAAATCCATAAGCAAGCTCAGTCACCATACAGTTGTTTTATAGATAATGAACCTGAGGCCGGGAGGAAACAGATGACCTGCCAACAGTCACGCCACTAGAAAGCAACAAAGCAGAACCCAAAATCAAAGCCCTGGTTTCTGGATCTCAGGCCCTTCTACTCAGTGGAACACGATGCAGCCATCGGAAGCAACCCTGGGCGTCCCATCATGGATGATCCTCTAACTATATTGTATAGCAGAAGCTTAGGTGCAGACAGAACATGTAAAGTGCTACCATTTGTGCACAAAATGGTATATCTAGCTATGTATGTGCATGGTTACATATACCTAGCTATATCTGGAAATGACAGTGAGAAAATGATAATAGAGTTGCTTTGGCAACAACTGGGGGTGGGGTGGAAGTCTTGTAGTCACTGTGTTCGAATTTTTTACCACTGTATGCTTTCATTTAAAAATTTTTAATAATTAAAAAAACACCAGTAGCTTTCAACTGTAAGTTACAAAAGAATCTGGTTCCCAGGCTCATCTCTTGCTAAATTCACCTGTGCCTTATGTGGCAGGCTCACTGCACTGGGCTTATTATCTAGATTTTCTGCCATTTTTACTTTCATCCTTTTCTACCTTTGCTGATCACTACTCCTTCACCTGGGATGCCTTTCCTAGCTTCAGTCCAGCTTTACACATGGTTTTTCCTTAGAGCCTGTGCATCTGCTGTATCTTCTGGCCAGAATCCTCAGACCCCAGCTATCTGCCTGCTTGCTCACCTCCCTCAGGCCTTTTAACTCCTTCAACTTTGCCAGGCTGTCCCTGACCACCCATGTAAAACAATGGCTGCCCACTGTTACTTTCTATCTCCCTTTCTGTTTATCTTCACAGCTCTCATTGCCCACATGACATCTTGGTTGCCTTTGTTGATGTTCATTTATTATGTTCCTGTCTCCTTTGTAGAATATAAATAAACTCAGTGAGATTTGTGACTTAAGTTTCTTTAAGAATTAAGTAAATACCTAGCTGTGTCCAGCTTACTCTAAGGAATCAATAAATAGTAATGAATCTAAATCTTAATCTAAGACACCCTATAGAACAGAGAGTAGAATGCCCCATAGAGCTTCCAAGACTATAATGTTTAGGGCAGCAGACAGCTACATCTTTCACCAGTGGCTCAACTGGTGGGTTCAAACCACTGACCTTTCAGTTAGCAGCCAAGTGCTTAAATACTTCACCATCAGGGCTCATATCTGGAGCGCTGATAGCCCTGTGTGTTAGGTGTTGGGCTGCTAACTGCAAGGTTGGTGACTCAAATCCATCAGCTGCTTTGTGGAAGATGAGGTTGTCCTCTCCCTTAAAGATTTAGTCTCAGAAACTCTATATAAGGTCACAATGAGTAGGAATCGACTCAGTGACAGTGGGTTTAGTGGGTTGTTTTTGTTTTTTTGGTTTATATACACACACAGAGCCCTGGTGTGGCGCTCACTGTAGGATATGCACTGGACTGGTAACCACAAGGTCAGCAGTTCAAACCCACCAGCTGCTCTCAGGAACCCTAGGCAGGATCACTGTGAGTCAAAACCGACTTGACAGCACACAATAATAATAATATACACACCAGAAGTCTTCATATAATTTGTGGGGAAATTCCATTATCCCCATAAACTTTTTAAAATTCTCTCAATGTTGTATGTGTATGTGTATATATAATTGGAGTTTTCCCATCATATGAAGCAAATCCAAAAAGTGATGAGGAAGATTTCAGAGTGATCGCCCAGTAAAGTCTTCAAAGTAGAAAGCATCTGAGACAGCCCATTTATTATACTGATGATGAGAGTCTGTGACCCATTTTCCTGAAATAGGTTCTTAACTAGGCCCTGGACATTTAAATTGTTGGGAAGCTAAATTATTGTCATAAAGTGGCTTAGTGCACATGAATGGGAATCAAAGCAAGTTAGTACTATTTAAATGTCATTAAAAATGGTAATGAACTTTTAGCCACCCAAGGTGCCCATGTCCTCCCTAGAGAATTCCTGTAACTGAGGGGATTCTCCCAAGTTAGCCTTTCCCTGAATAATGCTGGGCTAAGCTAGGGGTAGATCCTGTAGCTCTGTACTCCTGAGCGTAAGCATTGTCTACAGACATATGAACTAAGGAATGTGAATTGTACAGTGGTTAAGTGCTAGGTTACTAACTAAGATCTATGGTTCAAACCACCAGTAGCTTTACAGAAGAAAGCATGCTTTACAGTCTGTTTCTGTAAAGATTGTTAAGTGCCATCGATTCAATTCCGACTCATAGTGACCTGTATAGGGTTTCCGAGGAGTGGCTGATGGATTTGAACCACCAATCTTGTGGTTAAAATGGCCTTGCAGACTAGTGCTTATCCTACAGCACCACACCAGGACTCGGCCTTGGAAACACTATGGGGGCAATTCTGCCATGCCCTATAGGGTTGTGATTGTGTCGAAACTGACTGGATGGCACACAATAATAAGAGATAGACATACTTCAGTTCGCAGCAAAGCGTTTGGCCACTGTGCCACCAGGAATCTTTTTTCTTACCCTTTATGCCTCTTTGGGGACAAAGGATTGTAAGTAAAAGAGACTAAACTTACGTGATTTATTTTTTGTTATAAAAATGCTGATCCACATTCTCAGCAAGGTGAAGATCATTGTCCTAGGCTGACCTTTATGTTGTGATATTTCACCAAACAGATTAAAATACAACTAATTTTCACCAATTAACCAAATCCACTACTCAGATTCATGGAGACCCCATGAGTTACAGATAGTGCCCCATAGGATTTTCTTGGCTGTGGTAATTTTTACAAGAAGGGAGCCCTGGTGTCGTAAGTGGTTAAATGCTAGGTTGCCAACCAACCCATTAGAACCCATGATCTGTAGGAGAAAGATGTGGCAATCTGTGGCTATAAAGATTGGAAACCCTATGGAGAAGCTCTACTCTGTCCTACATAGTCCCTATGGTTTAGGTTTGAAATCTTTACAGAAACAAAGATCCCCGCCTTTACTTCCCAGCTGCGCTGAGTGGGATCCAACCACCAATCTTTAGGTTAGTAGCAGATCAGAAACCACTTGTGCCACCCAGGGACCTCTGATTTACAACCACAGATGGATAATTACATCCACTGTGGCTTCCCAAGCTAGATTACTAAAAGTACCTTAATTCCCTTCACTCAAGGCTTTTGGAAATCCCTAAAGCAAAGGAAATGAGGGGGAAGAGATTAATTGGGTTTCTAGAGGAAGAGTGGTTTTGAGGTAGAATTCCAGAGAAAGCACTTTAGGGGCTGCGGAATCAAGGCAAAAGCCCATTTGGAGGATCTGACAATTCCCAATAGCCAAGGGTGGGTGGGGCAGATGCGGTGTGAGAAAGGCAGACCACGTCCATGCTGTGAAGGGTTTTAAAGTTCAGGCCAAGGCGCCCTGGAAGAATGTACTGGACCGCAAGGTCGGTTTGAACCGCAAGGTCGGCGGTACAAACTCACCAGGCGCTCCTCGGAAACCCTATGTAGGGTGGCCATGAGTCGGAACCGACTTGACAGCACTTAACAACAACAACAAGGCAATGGGATTTTCCTCCGCGGACACCGGGGAGCCATCGAAGGTTCTCAGCAGGTGAGTGGCATGTCCGGATTGGCCACCCGAATGATTAACGTTATAATTTCTCCGGGACTCCTCTAATCTCAGCCCGCTCTCCGACCAGCCTTACGGTAGGTGGTGGCGGGGCTCTCGGGCAATAGGAGACGCCTGGCAGGCCGGGGTTTGTGGCCGGGAGCCAGGCAGGGGCGCCGAGCCGACGCCAGGCGTTGCACCTGGAGCGGGCCCGACTGCCGATTGGACGACTCGGGGTGACCCCGCTGTATCGCGAGACGAGATTGGCAGCGGTCGAGCCGCATGTGCCCCGGCGCTGGCTTTGTACACGGAGCCGCCTGCCGGTCCTTTAACAATGGGCGGCTCGAGCGTCCCGGCGCTGGCCCGGAGCTGAGGCTGGCGCTTCGCGGCCGAGTGTCCGCAGCATGCGCTGGGCCGGCTCTCCAGACACGCCGGCGGGGCTGGGGCTGTGAGGGCTGCGCTGCCGGGTAAGGGAGAGCGCCGTGGGAACTGGCAGGCCGGGGCTGGGCGCGGGGGACCGCACCCGCTCGGGGCGAGGCGAGGCGCGGCCCCTGGCCGGCCCGGCCTTTTGTTCTTCTGTCTGGGGCTACGCGAGCCCCAGCTTCTCTCAGGACATGGCGGAGGCGGTCTCGGTGCGCGCTGGGCCCTCACGGGCCGGCGAGGCTCAATGGAGGAGCGAGCGCCGGGCCGACAGTCTGCAGGGGGAGCCGGAGCCCGGCCAAGTTCGCCGCGGGTTTTCGCAGTGGGAACTTTTCACCTCTGAGGGGCTTTGGCTAGTGTCACGTCTCCCCGTTCTTCAGGGCCGACGGGGAAATTCGAACCCAGGACGCGGGATGACTGAAGCCCTCCAGCTTTCCCGAGCACGCACCCAGGTCCGCGCCTTGGGGACTCGGAGCCGGAGCGGGCCCCCTTTTGCTCAGCACCAGTGCGGTAGTTCTCGAAATAAGGCCGCCCCTCCTCCGTTGGCAGATGGGCTTGCCGAGTGGCTTGAGGGAATTGGCTGGGATCGGTGCCGGTTCGGATGAGCTCGGGGAGGATGGGCAGCCCACAGGGTGGCCTCGTCACAGCCTCGAGGAGGGGACCCGGAGGGTCGTGGAGGAGTTGGAGGTGACCGCGCCGGGGCTATGTCTTCCAGACGGAGAGCGCCGCGTCTGGCTCGGCGCGCCACCCGGGCCCATGGAGCTGGAGAGGCAGTGGTGGCGAGGACAGCTGGCCGCCGATATTCACCAAGCGCTGCGGTACAAGGTAACCCCGATGACCGACCTTCCCACCGTGTACCCGGCGCCACTGAGTCCGAATCCCGGCCGCCTGGTAGCCGGCGCAGGTTCTTTCCCCGCTAGCTTCCGGGCCAGAAGAAGCGAGTTTGCTTATTTGCACAAAAGTTAATTAACTTGTTGGTGCCTCTACTGTGGTGTATCAGAAGAACCTGCAACTAAACAAAACGAGGTGGGTGGTGGGGTGTGGCCGTGGCTGGAGGGAAGGTGAAATGGAACAGTTTAAGGATTCCAGGTAGAGCGTGAATTTGCTCTTGCTTTTAAAAAGATACACAGGGTGGTTTTCGATGGGGCAGAGCAGCCCTCCTTCTTGGATGGCTGCTATTGCATGAGTGACCTGACTCAGAGTTGCACAAAATAATTTCCCCAGCATTCCCACAAACTTACTGTATGAGTCTTAGGACAAGTTACTTAACTGTGTTTCCCAATTTTCTCATCTGTAAAGTAGAACTATTGTTACCCAAGATTTGAGGCTTTAAGGTGGAGGAAGCAATAGCTTCAATTTCTGGGAATGTCAAATTTCATCAGGAAAGTGGGGTGAGGGCAGGTAATTACACAACTAAAAGTTGTGTAGTGGTGCGTGTAAATGACAATTTTACTGTATGCTTTAAATGTCAGCTTGGTGGGTCAGCGCTGCCTCTGACAACCAGCAGCAAGACCAAATTCAAATGATGTCTAGCTTGACTCAGATTGAACCCTGCATAGAAGGAGCCCTTCCTTAAATGTAGACGATGAGAAAGAAGCAACCAGTTGGCTCTGTTTATAAAGAGGATGCTGTTTCCTGGAGTTGAGATCCTAGGATGTTAATAAACTTGTGTCTTGAGTATCTGATAAAGTAGTCTGGAAAACCAAATTTTGAGTTAAATTGTTGCAATTGTACGCTTTTCTGAGGCTCGAGGTTTCTGAATCCTGTTTATTTATACTGACATTCTATCTCTTAGACACATCTCAGACTGTAGGATTGTTTGTGCCACATAAAAGTCACAACTGTGGATGACTCTGGAATGTTAGGCATAGCGTTGCAGGTTTTCCACTTTGAAAACTGTCCAGATACACTTTTGATATTTTTTGCATGTGTCATCTTTCAATTTCAAATGTTCTTCTTTTCTAAGTATCAGCTCTTTATCCCTCTGCTATGTGGTAAAATTAATTATTTGATGTTAATGATACATTTATTTTTTTAATTGACATGAAACGTAAAAGATTTTTCTTGAATTTTTTTTTTTCTCGTAATTTTAATTCTTAAATTTTATGTGTAGAAATCTTTATCCTGAGTGATTCTCTGAAACAGTTTTTGCCCTTTAAGCTTGGGGTCTATGTTTGTTTTCACTTTGTAGATACGTTGAATAAATGCTTTTATCTATTAGGCTTTGTAGGACCCAAGGAATAAGACTCAACTGTACTTATTAAGTTCACGTTGCTTATGAACTGTCAAAAGGACAAGAAAGATAGTACAGTGTCTGAAGGAATGCCACTGAAAGTGGTCTTGGGTCAGCTAGAGCGTGCTGCCTTGGATTGTCTTTGTTTTATCTTTAAGCATTGTACAGGCCACATTTCTTTTGATTTGAAACGTTGGCCATACTTTAAAAGAGTTTATATTAATCAATAAAACTTGAGCCTGTGAAACTGTAGAGACTGTTGCTGGAGTGCACCAAAGTCAAGGAAATTTAAAATGAACTTTTCTCATAGAAAAAAAAACCAAACAGGGTAATTCTAGGTTGTTACCTTTGTACCCACTGCGTACAAAGTACTATGCCAGATGTTACAGCAGTGACAGTGAATGAGTCAGGCGTGGCTCATCGTATGAATTAGCTCCTCTGGGCAGTTGCCAGTTGGATACTGTGGAACATGTTCATATTTAGACCCTATGTTTGTGAGGAGATCATTCGTCTGACCAACAGTGGCTCTACTAGGGAAGTGTAGAAATTACAATTACTAGAAATCTTCAACCCAAAATGCCACCTATGCTTTTATACAATGTCATTATCAAACCAAACAAACCTATAAAGTGGTTGTCCTTTTGATTCATTATTCTCCTTCTCTTTCTTTTCATCAATTTGTAGGATGTTGGAGGGAAGTATTTTGGGGAATCTTTATGACAGATGAAGGAGCCCAGGTGGTGCTGTGGTTTAGACGTTAGGCTGCTAACCACAAGGTCAGCAGTTCAAATCCACCCGCAGCTCTTCGGGAGAAAGATGAGGCTGCCTGCTCCCATGAACATTTACAGTGTCAGAAACATTACGAGTCAGAATCGATTTGATGGCAGTGAGGTGTTTTTTTGGGGGGAGTGGGGCTTTAGGACAGATGAGAGTAATTCTAGTTTTGTGAAAAACATGAAAGAAATACTTATCCCACAAAGTTGGGCTTATGTTGGTCTTTATTTCCATCCTGTTGTTGTTAAGTGCTGTGGAGTAGGTTCTGACTCATAGCGAGTCTACATAGGGTTTCCAAGGAGTACCTGATGGGTTTGAACTGCGACTTTATGGTTAACATTCCAGTGCTTACTCTACAGTGCCACACCAGGACATCCTGGCTTGGCATGAACCATTCTGGGAAGGGGATGGCATTTGGAGTAGTGAGCTGAGGAGTACTTAAGACAAGATAGAAATGACATTCAGGCCTCTCTGTGCTTAGGCCCATTTGAATTTTGAGATGCAGATGGGAAAAGAAGTTTCACTTCTAGGATCAGGAACCGACAGCTGAAGGGACTGAGTGAAGGAGGGGTCATTTTCTTTTGCTCTTATAACTTCAGTACTTGAACAAAGATAACTAAGTGATGGCCAGCTGGTAAGCATTTGGTCAGATTGACAAATGCTACAACCTTTTGTAGAGCAATTAGATAATATAGATACTTTACCAGTTAAAAAGATTTTAAAGAAAATGCATTGGCCTCACTGTTAAAAATCTGGTGATGGCCCTGCCTTTGTTTTTGCATGATTTCATTTAGTATAGTTAATATATTTTAAAGTAAAGTCAGCAAGTGGTGCTGTAGGATCATGCACTGGACCACAAGGCCTGTTTGAACCTCAAGGTCAGCAGTTCAAACCTACCACCCGCTCCTTGGAAACCTTATACAGGTTCACTGTGATGACTCGATGACACTTAGCAACATGTATTTCAGCTGTTTTCCTAATGAGCCCTTCAGACCTTCAGAAATTCTACCCTGAATTTTCTTTCCCCTAGCACCGTACTCCCTGAGCTCAGTTTGATTTCCCTCCATATTTTTCTTAGAATCCTGTGGTTACTATACTGTTTTCTAATAGTCTCACTACTTTGGTTCACATGCTAGAGGACTGAGACCAGAAATTGTTTTTACAGCTCTTATCTCTATGATTAGCACAGTCCTGCTACCAGGTGGACTTTTAGTAAAGGTCACATGATGGTAGTGAGATAAAGTCAACTTGTCTGCATCTTGGCAAACGAGGGGAAAAAAAAATCTCAGGGGCTACATATGAAAAATCAGCATGTTCCCCATGTTTGGAGAAATTTATATATTTAACATACAACAACAAACAGCAATCTTCAAAGAGCCTTCCAGTATTTTACTCCCAAGGAGATACAGGCTCTTGTTTTGAGATCTTTTTACTTCCTTTCTTCTCACCCTCATTTCCATTGTCAAAGAAGTATACATCTGTTATTTCTTCTAGGGTTACCTTTTTTGGTATCCATCAAGATAATTGAGCATATCTGTGCATACATTACTGTGACTTATATTAATAGATTTTCTAATATCAGACCATCCTTGAAAAAAAAATGCTTTAAATTTATAGTCAGCTTAGAGTTCAAATTCAAAATTATCTTCACTAGATCTATGTATATAACAAGTGAAGACTACCGTCTGTTAATACAATTACTGTGCCTTATTGAAAAAATCCTTACATTCTGAGGATGATAACACTTGAAGATACAGTCTTTGAATACATTAGATTACAAAACTACATTGGCCAATACTGTATCTAAAGTTTTGTATCTTAGTATTAAATGAGATTATTATGTAAGGGTTTTTTTTGTTGTTTTTTTAATGATAGATAGGTTTAGTATTCGTATCATGCTTATCTCATGAAATGAATTTAGAAACTTTCCCTTTCTGCTCTCATAATTTATTTACTTTTTAAAAATGAAATCATCTAATGTAACTCAGAAATTGCACAGTGATGGGAAAAATTCAGGTGAATTTTTCAGAGAATAAAAACATTTGAAAGGGAAACATGATTAGAAGATACTAACGGACTCCCACCTCCATCCTTGCAAGTGTAATGCTGTATGGTGTATGTTACCTTTTAACTTAAAGCTTTGAGCTTCTTGGAGGAGCATGCATGAATGTGGTGTGTCGTAGTGTGGGGTGGTTGGGGTTTTGGTAAGGACATTTGTCTGAAAACACTTGGTAGGGAAAGCAATTCCTTATTAAAAATCTTGCATAAAAGCATCCATCCATTCCAAAGAGCATGAAATACATATGCAGACATACCTCAGAGATATTTAGGGTTCAGTTCTAGACCACCACATTAAAGCAAATCACACACATTTTTTTGTTCCCTAGTGTATGTAGCAGGTTTACACAATATTGTAGTCTGTTAGTGTACATTATATAAAAAGTTTGAAAAGTGTTTCACTCAACTTTAAAACACCTCAGAAAAGTGTTCAGTAGGCATGTGAAACATTAGATTAGAAAAACAATGTTAAAGGCTTTGCATTGTGAGATACTTCCACTGATCGTGTCAGACTAAATGTTGTTCCTCTTGACCTAGGAGCTGAAGTTGCCCTCCTACAAAGGCCAGTCCCCTCAGCTAAGTCTCAGACGGTATTTTGCTGACCTGATTGCCATTGTGAGCAATCGCTTCACTCTCTGCCCTTCTGCTCGCCATCTTGCTGTGTATTTGCTAGACCTGTTTATGGATCGCTATGACATCTCTATCCAGCAGCTGCATTTAGTTGCACTTTCCTGTCTTCTTCTAGCAAGTAAGTATGAATCTGGTCTGCGTGACTGGAAATTTACATTGTTTTTAATAAAATTAATGTAGAACTCAGTGAAATCGCTGAATCCTATTCATTCCAGTTTAGTAGTATCAGAAGTTGACATTGAAATAATTCTTAACCAGATATTAAAAAGTGGCTCTGAAGTCTTAAAAAACATGTACCTAAGCCCTGCATCCTGAAGATACTGGTAAAATGTTTAGGCCCACCTATCCCAGCTCAACAGAATCAGTTTCTGATCATTGGGCACAGATGTTTTTTAAGTTATAAAAAGCTAAAAAGTCTTGAAAGTGATTCTGACATATCTTTCCTGTTGTGAATTATTGTCTGAAAGCAGTGGTTCTCAACCAGGGCAACATTTGGGAGATACTTTGTCTGGAGATGTTTTTGATGGATGCTACTGGCCATCCTACAGTATACAAGCCAGCCTCCAACAATAATTATCTTGTTCACAATAATTAACAAGACTTACCTGATGACTCAAAATGTTAATGTTGAGAAATTCCATCTTAAAGATAACATATTTTTGTATTTGTTAGAATACTTCCATTATGAGTTGACATATGAACTAAAAGCTCATGTGTAACTTCTACAAATGTGAACACCTTTGCTTCCACATTAGACACACTATGCATTAGGCAGAATGACAGAATCTAGCCACAACTTTTATCCAATATTGAATATATTTTTGAACCTTTTGGTGTCCTTTTTCTCAATACATGCATGTAGCTGTTTCATTTCTGATTAATACCCTTGCTAAAGAGACAGGGTGAGAAAAGGAAATGAGTTTTTCTTCTTTTGGTAATGTGAAAAGATATCCTTTAATATTTAAATTATGTAGTTTTTATATTATCCATGTCATTACAATAGAAATTTAAGTCCCCCTTCAAAATAATCAGGTTTATTGACTACCTTCACCTCTAATCCCCCCTTCTCTGCAGTTAAGGGTTTAGGATCCATTGTGGCTTCTGTGTAAGGAACTGTCCCCCTATACTTTGCCACCAGTCCTTTCTAAAACACCTCTGTGTTTTGGCTGTCAGTAAGCGTAAAGCCAAATGTAGGCCTGTATGGTATCATTTCTGGCACTTAACCTTTTCTAAGATTTTTTCCTACTCATCTTTTTAATTTGATGACCTTAACTACTTCTTTTGTCGTCTTGAATGTCTCTTTGTAAGTTCTTTCACATCCTTTGTGGATTTAAGCTGAATATAAATAAGGCACAGCCCCAGAGATAACTTGTAGGTTAAGGTATTAGTTCCTTACTGTCACATTGAGAACCTTTCATCTGGGCCAGTCTCCTCTTCCAACCCTATTCCTACATGCCTTGAGATGACTTCTTATCAATAAATTTATCTTCTATATTTATTGATAAGAATATCTATATTTCCGCTTTAATTTATTATCCTCTAAGATCAGATACAAGGAGCTCTGGTAGCGTAGTGGTTACGAATCGGGCTGCGAACCTCACGGTCAGCAGTTCGAAACTACCAGCTGCTCCGCGGGAGAAAGATGAGGCTTTCTGCTCCCGTAAAGATTTACAGCCTCGGAAACCCTGTACAGG